CTCTCTTCTACCTTTTCTCGTGCAGGAGCATCAACTTCTTTTTACACATCTCAAAATGTCAAAGTTGGAGCTTCTGATGCATCGAACAATGAATGGAAAAAAGAGATGGAAGAAAAACATGAACTGCAAGGTGATCAAATTGAAAGGCAAGAAGAAGAATTAGCCTACCTTCGAACTACCTTGAAAGCTGTACTTCAACGCCTTGCAGTTGTGGAGGGATCTGCTGCGCCTCCGTCATCAACCCCGGCTTCTCATCCACACTACAATGATGAGCGGGATGAACATGAATTGATTGATTAGTATGTTTCCACTTGGGAGCTTCAATGAAGCGTGCATGGTATATTTTGCTATCCTTATCGATACTTGTTGGTAATCTTTTATTAGATTTAGTTTTGTAAGGTATTGAGGGTGACTTGTGACTTCTTGAAAACTTATTTAGAAATCCTTTATGTATTCTGACCTTATTTTGCAAATTTGTATGTCTTGTGAGTTTTTGAAAAGATGATATTGTGTAATGGTTGAATATTATTTGTATTGTTCTATATTGTATTCAGAATATTATAATTATTTATATTTTTTTTTAATATAAAAAAAATTAGAGGCAGATTATCCGCCCTCTAATGAATTAGAAAGGTAGTGGCAAAGAAGTTCTCCTCTACTATTAGAGGCAAACAATGTCGCCTCTACTTAAGCGTCGAAAAATTCCGCCTCTGATTTAGAGGCGAACAATTCCGCCTCTAGTTTAGAGGCAAAGTTTGCCGCCTCTAAATTGTAGACAATTAGTGGCGGACTTTTCCGCCTCTAAAATTAGCAGCGGCGTGATTAGCGGCAGAACACAGTCCGCCTCTAGTTCCACTCTATATCTTGAATAGCGGCGGTTTATGTAGAATTAGAGGCGAACTTCTCCCCCTCTGTTCGCAATTATTTTAGTAGTGATGTCAAGATCCACAATGGGAGGAAGTTAATGCTCAAAAAGAGGCTCTAGAACCTAAAGCCAACCCTGAATCATCCAACCATAAGGTGACAGTTTGCTAGGGCTACTGTGGTGATGTTACCCGAATACCCTCCAAGCCAAGTCTCAATCGGCACAGTCGTACATGAGGTGGAACCAACTGAGGAACCTGACTCAGAACCACCTATGCTTGTTCAAGAAAAGAAGGAGGAGGAAGTTTTGCCTATGGCAATAAACGACCATCTTCTTAATTGTGTTGAAGACACTCTCTAGAGGAACCTGTTCTAGAGGAAATGGAGCCCATTACCTGCCCCCAAGATACCAATGTCCAAGTGCCCGAAAAGGAATCTATAGACGAGGAAACACTTTGCATGGAAAATCCAACTCCGCTTATAGAAACCTGTGTACATAATACTTCATCTGAAGATTAAGACCATACTTTCTTTGACTCCCTACTTGACGGGTGTGACTATGTCTGCCCGAACGATGGTTGGAGCTTAAGGAGTTGGGATGAACTTTTGGTGAGTGATAATGAGGACTCATCCATGAGGGAAAGCATGGTTGTAATCGTCAAACCAAAATTGGATGGTCAGCCCATTGAAGACAAGGAAGAAATGTAACACCCTAATCCGTCCAGGTCTGCAGCCCCTTTCCGACTAAAGTATTAACTTGGTAATCGTAAAATTTAAAACATTTTAAATAGTTTTATTCATCATAAATATTGTTTAATACATAACTGTAGCAAAATACGGAATATTTAACAATAACGCGGAAGCAATTTAAACCATGTTTAATAACAACACAATTATTTATTTTAAAATCACAAAATTCCACCACGACAATCTCGCCCCTTCTGCTGCCAGGAACATGCCAATCATTCATTCTGTCTACCTGTGTGTAGCAAATAAAACATACTACACGCTCAGCGATGAAGCTGAGTAAGCATATCTAAAGCGTCGAACATCCACATAAATTGAATCTCAATTCACAAATAACCATTTGATATCATGCACACAATATATAATTCATTCATGATATTTTTAATATTTCAATATTCAACATTCATATTCAATATTCAACAATATCCTTAACTAAGCTTAGTCTAAGGCCAATCCTTTGATGATTACCAACTCTTAAACTATTACTAGTTCAAGGTACTTCTAACCAACTCTTAAGCTAGGTCATTAGTTTAAGGTACATATTCCGATTAATTTACCAACTCTTAAACTAGCCTTCGCTTAAGTTACAAATCCAGGAAACCGAACAGTAGAATACTAACTATCGGGTTGGGTGGTATCCCCAAACGAGTTCCTCTAGTTTGGTTTATGGATCCCGTACCTACATTTTTACCCAAGGACACCGAATATACATTTTTATACTCGCAAGACCTATTTCTAAACTATCTTAGAGGTCTTCTAGATAGTTTTAGAATCCAAAGTCAACCTAGGTATATCTTAAAGTTCTTCTAGATATCCTTACAATCCAAATCATTTCATAATCATCAACATATTCATTCCAATTCATAATTTAATCCTTGACAATCATTTTAATCAGTGGTTTCCACAAGCCATAATCATCATAATAATCATTACCGTCATGCATCACATAACATTTTATTTTTCAAAAACATCATTTTTATTGTGGTGAATCATTTTTATAATAATCATAATCAATTGGTATTAAAAATAGGATTTTGTGGTTCATAATTCGGATTTTCTGGAAAAATAATCGGATCAGACGGTACCCTTCACGGTACCTCGGTACCGGCTCACTGGACCTCGGTACCGTGCCGGCGGTAGAGGGGTACCGTCGATTGGCAGGTATCGTCAGTGAAACTCAGATGGAGACGGTAGTATCCTACCGTTCCGGCGGTAGGTGGGTACCGTTTGGTCGGTACCTATCTACCGTACCGGCAGTAGGGGTCTACCGTACACTGTTCATCGTCTTCTTCCTTAGGACTGGTTTCAGAAATTTCATTTTTAGTTCACCAAACTTCAATTAAACTATATAGAAATGTTCTCCAAGGTTCGTAGATCATTTTAGAGGCATCAATTCGAAGTTTTAAAAACAAATTCAAGGTTTATGATTCTTGGTTCTTCGAACATGTCAAACACAAAACTCAACCAAATGACCATTTATGAAGGTAGAAACGATCTATACGAACATTCTAATCATTAGATATATCAATGCAACGGGCTTACTTTGAAGCATAAGGAAGGTTTTGACGATTTTCCAGCGAAACTTCCGGCGACTCTATCTCACTGCTCCGGCGACCTCACACAAAGATGACAGCACCACTGCGTTCTACACACTCAAAGCTAACTCTCAGAAGTGATTTGGGAAGAAATGGTGAAGAATTGGGTAGGAAAAGGTGGTCCTTATATAGCCTTAAGGAAGAGGAAGCAGACACGGTGATGACCTCTATTTTACTGTTTTGGCGGCTGAGAGGAGTGGGCTGCTATCTTCTCCGTTCTACATAATGATATAATTTTTATCAATTATTGACAAACTTTAGAATTTACTTATTTTTGGGTCTTTCTCAGTAATTAATTAATTATCAATTAATTCTGATAGGCCTATTTTCGGGGCGTTACAAGAAATCAATCTTGCTTTGAAGGCAAATGATGTGGATCAACTGAGGAGACTTCCACCACCACCAACTTATACAAAGTCTCCTCCACATATCCTGTTGCCACCAAGCCACAGGAATGAGTCAAGGATCCTAGACCTTGACCGAGCAACAAATCAAACAAGGTGGCACCAGAAGAGAGTCAGAAGGGCCAAACTTTATGACTCTCGGATTGGAAAGTCGCGGAAAAAGTGGGTGAGCGTCAAGCTACGGACGTTAAAGAAGCGCTTAACGGGAGGCAACCCGTCATTCAAATAACTAAAATATTTAAATAAATTCAATAATTTTATTTGTTATTTTTGAGTTTCCACTTGCCACACCAGTTTTGGGGGAAAGATTTTATGTGTTTGTTTATGTGTGTGCAGATGCCTCATCGTCCTTCTTACCCTACTGTGGACCGTAATGAGGTCCAACTGATTGATGCTGCTTCTAGGACGAGGTTCGATGAGTGGGGACACTAACGGGTGTTACACAAGTCTGTGTGTCTAGCTCAGGACACACTGACGGACTATGGATATGTAGAGGAGATGGAGGAGCTGCTTGAGAGGACTAGATGGCAGCGCCTGCTTTAGCTGTGGGCAGAGTCTAGCCTACCACTGACCATCGAGTTCTTATGCTCGATATCTGCTGTCCCGGAGATTGAGTCACGACAGATGACTCATAGTTTGATCACTGCTGATACCACATTTGCCTTCACTCTTACGGGCCAGTCGTTTCGGTTGACAGTAAGAGAGATGGTTGTTCGTCTCGGGCTCTACACCCAGGAGGAGACCGAGCAGCCTGAGTTCTACGACGATCCCTTTTGTCTTCCCACAGATTTTGATGCTATAGCTTTCTGGAGGGAGCACTCATATGACGACAAGGAGTTCGTGAACAAGAAGAGTAAGGTGCGCTACTGGATTCGGCCCAGCTGGAGGATCCTATCTTTTGTTCTTTCGACATCCTTCTTTGGGAGGCCGTCGAACACTGATAGGGTGTACGAGGAGGATATGTTTGTCTTCTGGAGCTTGCACGACCGCCAGCCGGCGAACGTGGCGGTGTACCTGGCCAGATTCTTATACTCCCAGTCCTATGGGTGTAGGACGCACTTGGTGTGTGGGTTCGTGATTACACTGCTCTTTCGCTCTCTCAAAGGGAACACACCGATCCCACGGCCTGTGCAGTTGATGAGGGATTTAGATGCCGGCATGCTCCAGAATGCTCACATCCACCGGAGACTGTTTCCTAGCTCTTCTGAGAGCACTACGGCCTCTACTGGCCGCACTTCACATTAGATTGGAGAGTCCTCCGATCAATCACAGAGATCGTCTCAGCGCCTTCCTCGTCGACGACCTACCATAGCACAGTTGGCTCGCGCTCAGACAGAGGTAGCACCGGCATGGGCCCAACAGCTCTTGCAGAACCAGAACACACTTATGCAGTCCGTTGCGGCACTCCAACAGCAGGTGCATGGTTTAGACAGGATACGTGAGGCATTGGGTTTTGAAAACCCGACAAACCTCCCTCTGCATCAGCAGCAGCCCAGAGACGATGATCCCTCCACATCCCGGCCTCCGCAGTGATCTCCTACTTTCTCCAGAACTTTTTATCTTATTTGAGCCGGAATTGATGACTTGACTGGTTTATTTGGATTCCTGTTTGACTTCTTCTGGTAAACTTTTATGGTTATGCTTATTTACTATTTCAATCATCATTTTGAATATGTTACATATGCAATCATCTTAGTCATCATATCCTTGATATTTCAGCCAAAAATTCTACTCTGAAACACTTTTTTTGCCGTGAGGGCGCGGTTCCGTTCAAGTGTGAGGAGGATGTGAATTATTGGTTGAAATATCCCGGGTTAGAATTGTTTGCTTTGCATATTTGTGGGTAAAGATTTTATAAGTATGGTCATCAACTCTTTTGTTTAAATAATTAAGTTTTTAGTTATCACCCATAAAAAGTGGAAATTTTTAAATTTTTTGTCAACTTTTATTCTTTTCCCTAATTTTTTTCAAACAATTTCTAAAATCATTTGAGATACATTAGTATTTTCTAAGTTTTTTTAAGATCAATCAATTTTTAATTAGCTTCTTTAAAAATGTCATTTCTCATAAAGGTTTCTTCTAAATACAAGGGTCTATATAAAAAAATTCTAATGGTTTAAATTTTATTGGGATTGCGCTTAAGTGACGAATTGGAAATTCTATCTCCGTAAAGGGGCTCTGCTTCTCCCGCTAATCGCATAAGGTGAGGGAGCAAGTATGCATTTGTCATAGAATAAATCCTCAATCTCAGTAATGCAAAAAGCCTTGGTAATTCCGAGATTCATTCGTGATAAATAATGCTAAAAAAATATAAATAGGCCCATATTGTTTGACTAAAACCTTTTTGGAAATCCATTTTTATTAGAGCTTTTAAACACTTTTTGATTTTAAAATAATCCTTATAAATATGATTATCCCAATGAAAATTTAGAGTTTAGTTTGATTTAATTAGGTAAAAATATTAGTTTGACAAAATATTTTCAAATTTCTAGTAATATGGGTGAGAAACTATAAATTTATTTGTTCACATAAAAACGTTGATGACCATCTTATCCTTCTTTCCCTACAAGTTGTGTAACTTAAACATTTCTTTTGTGATTGCTAATTTGTTTTCATACATAATTTATTCAATTTGTTGCTTGAGGGCAAGCAACGTTTAAGTGTGAGGAATTTGATAAGTTCATTTTGTTCTTATTTTATTCTACATATTTTAAGCGTTATTGCACGATAATAGTAATAAATTTACCCATTAAAAGTGTCTACTAGTGACAAAACTGATGTTTTGTCTCAAGAAGAATAAAATATGGGTTCTAAATTAAATTAAGTGAATTTGTCAATTTTATGTATAAATTGGATAAAAAGTTTTAGATTTTAAAGATCATAATACTTCGGAGGTAGAAATCAGTGTTCGGGAGTCAAACGGACCAAAACAGAACAAAAATTGGCCAAGATCTCGAATATTCGCGAATTGGGCGCTGAATTCGGGTCCTGGGCATCCAAAGTTGGACGCCCGGGGGTAGTTGGACGCCCAAGCAAAGCTGGTGACATGCAAATGACACGCGGCGTAGTAGGAATGGACGGAACACGTGGTCAGAGGACGGGCGTCCAAAGTTGGACACCCAGAGGGTTGGACGCCCGCGTACCCTGCCTTATAAATACAGCGGCATCCTCACTCATTCTTCACCATCTCACAACCCATTTCGGGGTTCCCCTTCAAATTGCTCAATATTTCATTGTAGATTAGTTTAGTTATTATTTTTAAGTATTTTCCAGAGGATTTGACTCCCGATCTGTTTTGTTCCGCTTTTACGGAGGTTGGAAGTTTTCTTTATTTAATAAAATGCTATTTTAATTTATGTTTGCATAGTATGAGTTAGGGTCCAGATTTCTAGGTCCGAACTAGTTTGGTTGTTTATTTTTTTGATGTTAAATTAATGTTGGAATGGTTAATCTATTGTTCTTGCCTTATTTGGTTAATTAAACTCGAAAGATTTAATTGGCCATTTATTGAGAAAATATTGTATGCCAAAAGGCTATGATATTCAAGTACAACGGATTAAGTACAAATCTAGAAATGGATGAGTAGTAATATAAATATTATTATTATTCCAATTGTTAATTTAATATGATAAAATAGATCCAAATGATGTCCAGACCCTAGGCCCAGATCTATACTTATACTGTGTAAACTTAATTTATTATTTTTACTCTGCTCCTTTCATAATCGTTTTGAGAAGAGTTTCAAAAACCAATCCTAATCCTCTCCTAATTAGAGTAATTAAACTAATTCCCTTCGTCCACTCCTCGAGAGATACGACACTCAGAGAGAAAACTAACCCTTTACTTGGAAGGTTTACTACCCGAAAACCTACAACTGTCAAATGCTCCTCCAACGTCTCTGCAACGGTCAGATTTTTGAAAAATCGATTATCTAAGTCTTCAGATTCTCTGCCAAAGAAACTTCAGGATGCAATAATCGATTTACACCATACGTATAATCGGTTGTCGCTGATTTGCGCCTGATTTGCTTCCAACTTCTGCGGTCAGTGATAGTCGATTATCCTAATGTTGATAATCGATTGTTGGCTCCTTCAGTTTCTTTGCTCCAAACTTCCGCGGGCTGTGATAGTCGATTATCACAAGCGTGTAAATTGATTTACACCAAGTCTGAAAAATAATCGATTTACTTTGTTCCCCTGACTTTGACACCTCAAAAAAAAATTAAAAGAAGAGTCCTGCAAAGAAGAATTAAAAAACGTCTCCGACGTTCAAGTTAGTAAGGATAAAAAATGATAATTAATGCACAACTTAGATCATCGTGGAGTCAAGGATTCCGAGTTCACTATGAATGAAGAAGAACGACTCTTTCTCTAAAGGTTTTGTGAAAATGTCGGCTAATTGGTTGTGTGTTTCAACGAACTCAATTTCGACATCACCTTTGAGAACATGATCTCTAATGAAATGATGCCTAATTTCAATATGTTTCATCCTTGAGTGAAGAACCGGATTCTTCGTCAAGCTTATGGCGCTAGTATTATCACATCGAAGAGGGACGTGATTGATTCTAAGGCCATAATCCACAAGTTGTTGCTTCATCCACAGGATTTGAGCACAACAACTACCGGTGGCAACATATTCCTTTTCGATTGTGGATAACGCAACACTGACTTGCTTCTTACTAAACCATGAGACTAAAGAGCTACCAAGCAAGTGACAAGTCCCACTCGTACTCTTACGGTCTAATCTACAACCGGCAAAGTCCGAGTCGGAATAGCCAAAAAGATGACAAGGAGACCCCTTGGGGTACCATAGTCCAACGTTCATTGTACCAACAAGATGTATCATTATCCGTTTCACCGCCGTTAAATGCGATTCTTTCGGACAAGATTGATACCTTGCACATAAACAAACGCTAAACATGATATCGGGTCTACTAGCGGTAAGATAAAGAAGGGATCCGATCATACATCGATACTTCTTTACGTCTAATTCCTTACCCTTTTCATCTTTGTCCAAGTGCTCGGAGGTGCTCATCGGGGTATAGCCATTGCTTTGGAGCCGTCCATTTCGAATCGTTTTAGGAGCTCCTTGCAATACTTTGATTGACAAATGAAGGTTCCTTACCTCATTTGTTTGACTTGTAAGCCCAAAAATAAATTGAGTTCCCCCATCATGGACATCTCAAATTCATTTGTCATCAAGTTTGAAAATTCCTTGCACAAAGATTCGCTAGTAGCACCGAATATAATGTCATCTATGTAAACTTGCACCAAGAGGATGTTATCGTTTTTACTCTTGATGAAAAGTGTAGTGTCAACCTTCCCCCTTTTGAACCCGTTGCCCAAAAGAAATTTGCTCAAACGTTCATACCAAGCACGAGGTGCTTGTTTAAGACCCTAGAGTGCTTTCTTTAGTTTATAGACATACTCCGGGTGCTCAAAATCCTCAAAGCCCGGGGGTTGATCAACATACACTTGGCATTGGCGTTTCCTCCTCTTGTGGTTGTTCGTCGTTTACGGGTGGCTCTACTTCCACATCTTGGCTTTCCTTTGAGTTATCTCCTTCGTCATTGTCGTTGAGATAGATGTTCTCTAACGAATCTACAAGATCATCACAAGAAACCTTTCTCGCCAAGCGAGCATCATTTTCGGCAAAGACAACATGAGGAGATTCCTCAACAGTTAAGGTGCGTTTGTTGAAGACTCTATAAGCCTTACTTCGCAATGAATAACCAAGAAAAATTCCTTCATCCGACTTTGCATCGAATTTGCCCAAATTATCTTTTCCGTTATTGTGAACAAAACATTTGCAACCAAAGACTAGAAGATGGGAGAGGTTTGGCTTTCTTCCTTTATATAATTCATATGGGGTTTTCATGAGTATCGGTCTAATGACGGCTCGGTTTAACACGTAGCTCGCGATACTCACGGCATCTGCCCAAAAATACTTAGGAATTTTTGCCTCATCGAGCATAGTTCTTGCCATCTCCTCGAGACAATGATTTTTACGTTCCACCACTCCATTTCTTTTTGTGTACGTGGAGCAGAGAAGTTATGCTCGATGCCTAGTTCGTCACAAAACTCGGTAAAGAGATCTCGTTTGAACTCTCCACCATGATCGCTTCGTATGGCTACGGTGGTTAAGCCTTTTTAATTTTTAACCTTTTTTAGAAAAGTTTTGAAAACATGAAATGCCTCACTTTTATGAGTTAGAAATAATGTCCATGTGAATCGAGAGTAGTCATCAACGATCACAAAGGCGAAATAGTTTCCCCCAAAACTTTTTGTTCTTGATGGTCCAAAGAGATCCATGTGCAAAAGTTGTAAGGTCCTTGTTGTAGACACAACATTTTTCGATTTAAATGAGGCCCTTACTTGTTTGCCCTTTTGACATGAGTCACAAATGGTGTCCTTCTCAAACTTGAGTTTTGGAAGGCCAACTACTAGGTCTTGTGAAACCAATTTATTCAAAAGGTTCATGTTGACATGAGCTACTCTACGATGCCATAGCCACATATCATCCTCCTTACTCATGAGACATTTGGCAAAGTCGGAGGGAGATTCATCTAAGTTAACCATGTAAATGTTATCAATCCTATCACCACGAAGAATCGTCTTATTGTCACTAAGACTTTCTACCGTGCATGATTTAGAATCGAAAGTCACACGATTTCCCTTGTCACACAATTGACTTATGCTCAAGAGATTATGTTTAAGACCCTTAACCAATAATACATTATCAATAGAGGAGGTTTCGTTTTTACCAACCGAACCAATGCCAATTATCTTGCCTTTGCTATTATCGCCAAAGACAATGTTTCCTCCTTTAGTTGGTTTGATTTGCAAAAACTTGGATGCATCTCCGGTCCGGTGCTTAGAGCAACCGCTATCAAGGTACCAAAGTACACTTGATGCCTTCAAGCACACCTACAAATCAATTTAAAAAGATTTAGGTACCCAATTCCTTTTGGATCCTTGGGCGTTAGGTGCATGTTGGTAGTGTGATTGGTTTTGAGTGCAATGCCTATGCCTAGTGAAACAAACCAGGGCTATATGTCCTACCCTATTGCAATAATGACAAATAACATTTGGATTATGCATTCTCCTAGGTTGATAATAGTTACTAGGTTTTCTATATTGATTGACCCTAGTTTGAGAAAAGTTTTGTTTATGCATATTTTGAAAATGGTTTCTAGGTTCTCTAAATTGACCATTGTTTATCCTAGTGTTCTTTTTAGGTGGTCTAGTGTTCCTAGTTGATGTAGGTTAGTTGTCTATTATTATTCATTTTAGTTTTCCTAGGTTGAGCCTTAGGTTGTTTAGGTGGTTGCTCAACTTTTTCCTTATTATTAGTTTCATTTTCAAATCCTAAGCCATGGTTAGTAAGTTGCAAATTATCAAGAACATCATTAAGATTTTTATAAGAAACACCAAACTTCTTCAAAGTTCCTTCAAGTTTTGCAACTTGTTCCTTAAGTGATATACATGAGCTACATTTTGAACTTTCCGGTTTGTCGGCGCTTCTTTTTCCGAAAAACTTATTTTCTTCTTTGAGTTTTTCATTATCTTTTGATAGTTTGTCAACTTCCTTCTCCATGGAAGTAAGTTGTTTCTTCAAATCCTTGTTAATTTTAGAAGCGTTGACATATATTCATCATAAAGTTCATTAAAGGCTTCTTATACGTCGTCAACTGTATAGGAATCTTTAGAAGTGGTACATACCTCTTCCGGTGGTTCCTCGTGTGCCATGAGGCAAAGGTTGGCGCTTTCATTTTCTTCGCCTTCCGATGACTCGTCGCCGGAATCACCTCCCCATGAGATGTAAGCTCGGTGCTTCTTGAACGGTTTCTTCTCCTTCTCGTTTTTGGCATTTGGGCATTTTGGCTTGATATGGCCAACTTCTCCACACCCATAGCATTTGGGTGGTCCTCCATGCTTCTTCCCCTTTCGTTCATACTCCTTACGCATGAACTTGTGGAACTTTTTTATGATGAGCCCGAACTCGTTGTCCTCATCGCTTGATTCCTCCATGGCGGGTTCTTGGCTTGAGGTAGCCTTGAGTGCAATCCCCTTCTTCTTTTGTTCACCTAAAGAGGGGAATGGAATTGCAGACTCATAGGTTTTGAGAATACCTCTAAGCCCGTCAATGGTGACGTTGGTGATGCCAATGGACTCTTAGATGGCATCGGCTTTGGAGCGCCATTCCGGTGTGAGACTCCGCAGGATTTTTCTCACAAGCTCCTTGTCCGTGTACGTCTTCTTGAGAGCATGGAGATCATTGACGATCTTAGAGAATCGTTCAAACATCTTGTTAAATATATATATAATATATTTAATATTATTGTATTATTATTGTTACCATATTTGTATAGGTTTCCTATATTGTCTCTTACCATATTTGTATAGGTTTCCTATATTGTCTCTCCTACCTTAATTAGGATTGAGACTTTTGTATATATACATGTACTCTCCTCACAATTTATTCCATGAAAATACTTCTTCTTCATGGTATCAGAGCCTAACTAAAACCCTAAAAATATCCTCCCTAGTTTCGGCCCTCCCCTTCGCCGAACTAAACCCTAACTAAACCATGGTATCAGAGCCTAACTAAACCCTTCACCGTCTCTCTCCTCCTCTTTTCACGGCCGGCAGCTTCCTCCCCCTCCTTCAATGGCTGAAAGTGAAGTCACCTCTCAATCCTCTACCCAAAAATCTCCACATCTGGCTTTCTCCGTCTTCAACGTCAAACTCCATGTTCCAATCCAACTCAGCTTTTCTCAACCAAACTACAAAAAGTGGAGCCGCTTGTTTCTTCATCTTGCACGGCGGTTCAACCTTCAGGGTTATCTCGACGGTTCTATTGCTCCCATCTCCGATGACGACGATGAATGGTTTTAGCTTGATGCCATTCTCCAAGGCTGGATTCTCTCCACCATCACTGATGAAGTTTCAGATCTAGTTATTTCCTCGGTCTCTACTACTTCTGCTCTCTGGAAGGTGATTCACGACCTGTTTCACGACAACAAACATGCTCGCGCCATGCAACTCGAGCACCAATTTCGCACCACCGTCAAAGGATCTACTCCCATGGCTACGTATTGTCAAGAGCTCAAAAATATTGCAGATTGGCTAGATGACGTAGATGCCCCTGTGTCTGAGCACCAACTTGTTCTCCAAATGTTGCGTGGCCTCCCCGATGATTTACAAGCCCAAACTTCGTTCCTTCAATTTCAAGATCCCATGCCGAGTTTCCTCCAGGTCCGGTCGGCCCTCCTTCTCCTTGACCGACAACGGACCCCCCTGGGCAGCACCAGCAGCACGGCGCTGCTGGCGGGGCATGGCGGCAGCAGCCACGCAGGCGGACAGCACGGCGGGACTGGCGGGCGCGGCTCTTCTAACGGTGGCAACTCCGGCGGTGGGGGACAATTTTTTGGCAGCAACTATGGTGATGGTTCATCCTCCGGGCAGCGTGTGGCTTTGGACGCGGACAAGGGCGTAGCAACGGCAACCGGGGTCGTGGTCGAGGGTGCCAAAACAGCGGATCGAGGCAGCGACCACCCACGGACGGGCACAATTCCTGGAACTCACCGTATCCAAACCCTAACCCCGAGGTGTTGGGCCCCCGGCTCACCCCCACACCNCCCACAAACCCCCCAACCCGCAACCTACACACCCCCTACCCACCCACACCCACAGCCCTAGCCCACCAATTTGATACCCTATCCCTCCGTAAACCCACATGGCTTATGGATACCGGTGCCACACACCACATTTCCTCCAACCCAGGTACTCTTTCTCATGTCTCTTCTCAAGTTTTATATTCACCTCACTATATCACTGTTGGTAATGGATCTAAGGTTCGCACTACGGCGGTTGGTAACCACACCCTTCCCACCACCCCCCCTCTCTCCCTAAATAATATCCTAATTTCTCCCCATATTACTCATAATCTTATCTCTGTTCGCAAACTCACTCGTGATAATGACTGCACTCTTGAATTTGATGCTCATGGTTTTTCTGTGAAGGATCGTCAGACGGGGACCGTGATGCATCGGTCCAATAATGTATGCCCTCTCTACCCGGTAGACCATCCAACCTCCGCTCAAGCTCATGTTTCATCCGTAGATCATCAAACCTGGCATCGTCGCCTCGGCCATCCAAGTCTTGCGGTCCTGCGTGGTGTCCCTTCTATTTTTCCTTTATTTAAAAATTATCAACAAGCTCTTTGTCATGCATGTCAATTGGAAAAGCATGTGTGCCTCCCATTTTACTCTTCGAGTCGAGTCTCTTATTTTCCTTTTCAACTTTTGCATACAGACTTATGGCAATCCCCTGTGCCAAGTGTTACTGGTTTTAAATTTTATATGTTGCTATTAGATGATTTTTCTCATTATTTGTGGGTATTTACTTTAAGACATAAAAGTGACGTTTTTTCTCACCTAAATTCCTTTGTGGCATATGTGAAAAATCATTTTAATACAACAATAAAATCTGTTCAATGTGACAATGGAACTGAATACAGAAATGCGCCTCTTAAAAATGTTTTTGACTCCTTGGGTATTCTATTCCGTTTTTCTTGTCCCCATACTAGTCAACAAAACGGACGCGCCGAACGTACCATTCGCACTCTTAATAACACCGTCCGTTCGCTCCTATTTCAGGCTCAACTTCCCCCTGAATTCTGGGTGGAAGCCCTCTATATGGCCGCCCACCTCTTCAACATTCTCCCCACCACTGTATTAAACAACCGCACTCCTCACTCCGTTCTCTACAATTCTCCCCCACACTACTCTCATCTTCGCGTTTTCGGTTGCCTTTGCTACCCCAATATCTCCGCCACCGCCCCACACAAACTTGCACCGCGCTCCTCTCGTTGTGTCTTCCTCGGCTACCCCTCGAATCAACGTGGCTATCGATGTCTTGACCTTCAAACGAACAAAATCATCATCTCTCGTCACGTTGTTTTCGATGAGCACACTTTTCCATACGCCCACCCTCTCACCCCTCCCGACCTTCAATTTTTGGACACCACTGATGATGGACCTAACCCCCTAACCATCCCACCTCACCCTCTCTCCCGTCCTTCGGCCCACCCCACCAACCCAGCAAACCCACCCCACCCTACGGCCCAAACCACCTCCTCTCCTCTCTCGACCCAACAGCCCTCCT